TACAGCATGTTTTGATTTGGTTCAATTTTGAACCACAACATTTGTGGGTTGGGATACAAAGGTACGGCGAAACGTTTAGGAATGTACACGTTCACGGTTTAACTTTGGAAATAATCATCCAGACAATGGATGACGGACTAGATGCGTTCCTCTAAGTCTTCCTACCAATATGACCATGTTGCGAAAACAAGATCAAACAACCTCTATAGACTAAAGTTATTATTCAAGATCTACAGATAGTCGCGAAAAACCTGCTTATTAAGAATATAGGTAATGCTGTCAACTGCAATGGCTAAAACATATTTGGTTCGTCGATGGTCCCACAATTAAAATTGTGAGAGATTTCTTAGATCATTTGATAGACTTTGTCAGAGTAAAATCATTTTTTACCAAAATTTTTCAAACTCACGACAAGGATGGATGTCATATGCAATCTAACCTACTGTTTATATTGTGACTTTCCAGATATGGAGTCATCTCGCGATTTATTTGGCTAGTGCATGCTTCCTCTGAAATCGGATGCAAGTACCATGACAAAGGTTGGTGCCTTAGTGAAAAGTGCAAAAGCAACATTCATCGGTCAAGTATACCTAGGTTGCATCCGCCAATACGATAGACAAATACTGTACTCAGTTTACTAATTAACAGTACTAATGAAGGTTTGGGTACTCAAGAAATATGGATTTATAAATCAGTTGGACACAAATACCTTACCGCGTCATCAACAAACATACCCTCTTCTGGCTTGATCTGTGAAGAATTAAGATCTTCCAGAGTACTAGGGGAACCAATACGATCGATTAGCTGCACTGATTCAGCGGGAGAATCGCCTAGAGAGCCACTAGGTGTTGTAGACTGCACAGCAGATGAGGCAACCACAGCTCCGATTACACGCATCTGCTCAAGCCGACGGCCAACACGACGAGTAGCTTCAATCAGGCAGTCAAGACGGCGTGATAATGGTACAATCGGACCGGGACGATAATTTTCAAGCATGAGCATGAGACTACAGTCTGTCCAAAAGCTAAGAAAGGTGACCTAAAATAAGAAAAATTTTAGAACGTTTGCGAACCAAATATGTATAAACTAAACGGAAATACCTACAACTTGACCAATGGGTGGTAAAAAGCAGATAACAAACAATCTTTGAGACTGGCTTAAAACACTCGATGACGTCTTCACATTCTGGCCTATTTAAGAGAAAAGAGCACGAATTTGAATAGATTGGAACATGCATGACAGCGGCTAACAAAAGGCCCAGCATAAAATAGACCTTTCGCAACCAGCAAAGAAACGCTGTAAAAGAAATATGTAGGCCACCACTCATACAAAGAACATCCGGTGGAACGCCGGAGCCGAAAAAACTAGACATTACTTTATAAAAGTTTTATTCTGATTCCTAGCTTTTCAATAATCAAACAAGGAGGCAATCAATTAAACCTAATTGGCTTATTGAAACAGTTAAATGCTGAGGATATATGTTAAATTTGGTGTCAAATTTATATTCTCGACATGAGTACGTTTCGAGACAATCAGTAATTTTTAAGTAATAACTCGAAAACTACTCACAAGAAAGAAGTAACGTCGTCGATTGCAACGATAAGTATTTGCTTCATCAATAATTCCACTGGCTCGCTTCGAAAGTAGCACCTACTCTGTCGCTCACTGGCACCCATGCCTGTGGTATTGCAATATTAACGTGGCTACTATACTCATGGCCCGGTAAAGAAGCCGGTTGTGTGTGCTGAGGAGACTCAGGCAAGTTCGAAACTGAAATCTATTTTGGATGAGAGAACCTTGCGAGAGGCGCGTCTAAATGAGTTTAAATAGTATCTCGTAAGGCCTGTTAATATAATTGTAAAAAACCTAATTATCAGTGCTTTAATTAGCCTAAGCAACCTAAGATTACTAAGTTCTTAATAAAAATATTTTATTGTAATTCATAATTGTTATATGCCATTTATGTTGAGAACCCATAGATAATATGATCTAATCAAAAATATTAGAACAAAACTAGGTTGATTTGTTTTAATTAAGTGGTGCTGCAAACGGGGGTATTTAAATCCATCATGATAAATTGAAAGAGCTTGAGCTTTCGTGTAAGTTTCGCCTTGTTTAGAACAAAAAAAAATTCTTTTTTCTTCAAAGCTTTCTGCAAATTCTCATAAAAGCCTCATAAATAACTCAATAGGAATTAAAAACCAAATGATGCACTTACAAAGATAAACAAGTTACGGATGCCAAAAATGCAGTGGATTGTTGTATGAAATTGGGACTAAAGGTTAGTCCAAAAGCAAATTTTTTTAAATAGTTGCTTGATCTTGTTTTTACAACTTGGTTATATTTGCAGGAAGACCTAGAGAAACGCACCTTGTCCGAAGTTCACCGCATGCATGATAATTTCCAGACGGACCTAGGATTTGGTACATTTCTATACGTTTCGCCGGCATCGTCAATGAGCATTGTTATTCTTAGCATCCCAATACAACACGACAAAGAGACAAGTGAAGTCGATCCTTTTACCTATTGTCTGCTAAACAGTTGCGTTATCTCTTCTTCTGTCCTGAAGTATACTACTCCTTCACTATCACAATTTCTTACTTGTGTATTTAAATGTGTTATAGTGTGCCTTTTTGAGTGGATTTCATTGAACTTCTTCACACCCCAAGCTGGATTTCTATCCCACCCTTGTGCTGGGAATGCTGATCTGAGCCTGTCATATTAGTCTGCAATACTTTTCCCATAGGTCCTATTAGTCTCCCTCGTTCCCAGTAAGATTCGTCTCCTATTTACT